ACAAAGATTTTTGAATGGAATAAATAAAATGTTACCGTATGTTTCCGCTTTTAACACAATAGCTAAATCACTAAGAAATTTCTGGCTGGCTCTTATAAGTTATAATATTTTTTAAATCACGTGAACACAAAATAATATTGGTGATTATTTGGGGTTGTTTTTTAATTTGTGCTGAAACTGCAAAACCTTATAAAAATTTGTACCTTAAGATACCTGAAGGTCTTTATTTGTGGAAATATATGGTATAACTTTTTTTGAGCTGTTGTGTTACTCTTAAATTGATTGATTTTAAAATGAACTATTAAATTATTGTTCATCAACTGGTTGTATTAATTTATCATTAATTCTGGGCAATTGGTCAATGATTTTATACATTTTTATGTTTGTGTATGCTAGAATGAAAATAAATTATAAAAGTTAAAAATTTATGTATGATAGCATTAAAATCTTATGTTTATATTATGACCATAACATAAGTATTTGTTCCTTAAAGGTTTGTAGAGTAGTCTATATCACTTATCTCTTGGATTTTAATTTTCCTTGTATACTTTTTCTTATTTATGTTTTAATCTTGAGCTGCAAATTAGTTTGAACTTTTTTTATACTATTAAAAAAACTAATCTCAACTATTTAGTTCTTCCTTTTTATTAGTACAGATGAGCTGAATAGAAACTTCTTTCTATCTGGTTTTCAATTTTTTTAGTAGTAATAAAAAATTTTATTTTAACCCAAAAAACAAAGTAAAAAATATTCAGAAAAAATTTGCAATATTCAATTAAGGTACTTACATATTAGCATCACTGCTATCAAACTGGTGCCACCAATTATGCCATTTTCACCAAAATCTGATAGATTGGTATTTTTTCATATAAAACAAGTTAGAATCTTGGTTTAAATATCAAGGTGTGATTCACATGGTGCCAATTTTGCTGCAGTGATGCTTATATGTAAGGACCTGAAAATAATTTTTTCTGAAACCTCTGTTTAACACTGTGGGCCAAATTGTTCATTTATACAAAACAAATTGAAATATTATAAGAAATATAAGAGTATAATGCCAGATCAAAAGTCAAATTTCTTCATTATTAAGTTTTGTACTGTGTTTTATTTAATTTATCATATTATTTTTTAAATAAATTTTCTTTTTAATTATTTTTAGTGCATTAATAAATAATGGCTGCAATAAAAAGTCAATCCCTGAAATGTAAAGATTTACATGATTATTTAAAAACTTTGTCTTCTGCTACACTTGAAAAACTCTACAATCATCCTGCCACATGTTTGGCTGTATTTAGGTGAGTTATTTTCTTTCATTCATCTACAAAAATTTACATTATTGAATATGCAGTTCTGGTTAAATATTATGTATTATCACAATCAGATTGATAGAAATTGCCAATTTAAAGAAATTACCAAAACAGTGCAATTTGCTTTATAATAAACACACAGTTTCCAGTTTTGTTTTGATGATTAACTTAGAAGTTTTCATGAGCATTTGGTTTATATATTTAAGTATTTCGTTCACTATGAAATTATGCATCGAGATGCAAGCATTTTAGAAAGGCATTGATTTTAATTGTTGGCAACTCAGAATTATAAATAGCAATTGATCAAAAAATAGTCTCTTTCCTTTTGCCACATTTTTTAAACTTATGTGATGCTGGTTTAAGAAATTGACTGGCATTAACTATTGTTTTGAAAAGGTAAGATGCAAGTCAAACAAAATAAAAATTGATGTAAAGAACTTCTTGTGAAAAATCTTCTAAGGAGAGACAAAAAAAGAGCGATAAAAAGAATATGACTTTAAAAGTGATAAAAATTTTTTTTTTAGAGCCATATATATTTCTATTTCATAGTCTACCACTTCATTTCTGTGCTTATTTTCAAGGAAATAAGCAAAGAAACGAAGTCATATTCCTTAGTTATGGTTCTTGATTGAATAGTGACATTAGCAAAGAAAATAACTAAATATGTTTAAGAAGATAATATAATCTATTGTGTGTGATTGCTTGTTTGAATATGAAAAGAACAGGAAAAAACAACTTTATGCATGGAACAGTCAATCATATATACCATGAGAGTCAAAAAAGTTCCCAGAATGATCTCATACCTTCATGCAGGTGTTGGCTAGAGGGGAAATACCTGTTTCGGGGGCTGGCAGCATTAATAAGGAAAACACAGCCATCTGGAATTCATTTCCTGCACTGTTGTTGCTGCCTGCAGATAATTTCTGACAGAGCAAATTTTTCATTCATCTGATTTTGCGATGTCCTCTTTGGAGCAGCATGCAAACATCAAATTCTCTGTTTCACTCAAGAAATCACCTGAGATACTGAAGATGCTGAGGGAAGGATATGGAAATGATTCCAGCACTAAAGGATTTTTACCTGTTTCCATGACTGAAAATGAAATTGAAGGCATATCATTTTGTGAATATAGATGAGATTATCCAAAATGCGACAAAGCAATTTACAGACCTCTAAAAAAATGGATTCCATGAGTATTTTGAACAATTATATGAATGCTGGAACAAGTGTGTGGATGCAGGAGGTCAGTACTTTGAAGGTCAAATAGATTAAATTATTATTCTATTTTTTAATAATTTGTAATTGACCTCTTCTGGGAAGTTTTTGACCCTACCATGTTTAATTTCATTTATCCAGTGGTTAGTATTCACTTGCAATGCACTGAAAGAACGTAAGGATCGGTAAGATGCAGAGATAAAAAGCATAAAAGAATGGCCTGATACCAAATTTAATCATATTTAACTAAATTTATTTGAAGCCTAGTTCAAGAAACTACATAAAAAAAGTTGTTTCACATCTATTCTTATCCACGTTTATCCAACTTGGAATGAATGAGTATTTATTAATATCACATGAGGGCTTATGGCAGTGATTCTCAAAAATGTTTTTGTTGCGGTACACTTTTGACAATTTCAAAATTTGGCTGCACACTAACAATAAAATAAGGTTCAAAGAATTTTACTTATCTGTAATACGCTATGTAAAATAGTTTATGATAATAATTTTCAATGTAAAATAAAATATCCATGACAAATATAAAATGTTATCTCATAATTAATTACAAATTAATTATAGGAATTTATTTAATGCAAAATTTGAACTTGAGGATTTTTGATAATTTTGTTTATATTTGGTCTTAAAAATGATAATGCCACTCTCATTTTGTCATCTACATTTAAAAGTCTCAATTTTTTTTTCATTTGTTAAGGCTGAAAATATGAATTAACACTAATTAAATGTTGAAAATTGTCACAATACTTTAAAAAATTTTTACTATTATGAGATAATCACCTCTAATTTTAATCCAAAATGAATTAATTGACCTTTTCAAATTTTTTGAAATAAAATTTTGATTATTACAGACCAAAATTGGTTTTTCTCTTCATTCAAAGTTAATTCATATTGTAACGTGTCTATTTGTGAGCCTCCTACTAATTCTTTAGGGGAAAAGTCTCTTTAAATATTGTTCTATAGAAAACTTTCTCCCAAAGAAGAAAATGTTGTTTATGTAAATCAAGGCTTATATTTAAGCATTATCTTTTAGGTTTGAAAGAGGGGAGTTAGGAATTACATGATAGATGTTAGTGTTTAATGTAAAATAGTAGAAAGCCAGTTGAGAGTAACTCGCTGGTTAATTACTTAATATTTAAGATTGATAATTGACAATTTGGTCAATAAGATTTATTTGAATTAGAATCATAACAACTAGAAGGTGAATAGCTGAAATTTCAATTATTACAGAATGAAATTAGTTTCCCCCCTTCATTCAAAATTAATTCATATACAGATATATCCTATAAATGGATTACTAACTAAATAATTTTTTTTTATGTTCATCGTTCCAGGAAAAGATAAGTTAAATATACCACGAATATCCTTAGTTTATTTCTATAAAACATCTGAATTATTTGGTTCCAGATTTTATTTTTTTTTCTCATAGTGTAATTTATAATTTAAAAAAAAATTTGGCTGCACACTTCAAGAATTTGGGGGTATATATACAAAAGTCCTGTGGCACAGTGGTTGAGAATCACTAACTTATGGCAACATACCTTATAATTTTGAGCCAAGTAGTGAGGGCAACACCTGAGTTGAAACTGCTTCTTCAAGCTTCTTTCCCTTCACAATGCCAATGGGAGGAGATTGAGCAACAACAAATTTAATGAGTATCAGCCCCTCTACACATAGGGTTTTTTCAGTGGCATCAGGGCTCAAACACATGGCACGCTCATGACCATGATCACTTGGCTACTCCATCCATAAAAAAAATTCAAAACCCTAGAGGTTTTTAGAAGTTTAAAAAAAAAAGAAAATAAAACTTATGAAATGGCTGTACAAACATATAATGCTGCAATTAACTTATTACTTTGAGTAAGGTCATTCATCTATGTACGAGTTCATAAGTTCTGCCAGCTTAATTGCAATGATGCACTAGTACCCATATTTTAATAAATGGTATTTATCTTCTGTTCTTAAACATGAAAATTACTATTATTGATTAACAACTGGTAAAAAAAGCATGTGAGAGAGAGAGAAAACAAATGTTTTCATTTTTAAAAAAAATTTAAGTAAAGAATTATATGTAATATTACTTATCAAATATATATATTAGTATAATTCCTTTGTAAGCAAGTGTATACAATTAGTTATTCAATTTTATATTTTTTGTGTAAATTAATTTTTTTACATATTTAAGTTAAGGAGAATTTTTATTCAATTTCTACTATTAGAGTTAACACTCTCCATATATATATATATGTATATATATCTTGTTCAAATTTTCAATCATTAATAAAATACTTTTTATTCATCCACTCAAGTTCAAGTACATTTTTTAAAATTTGTAGTGGATGGTTGATGTTAATACAGTTTTTTCAAATATTAATTCATTCATTCCATTTAATTAATGAATAAATAGTAAAAAACAAAAATAATAGTCCAACACCATATATAACAAGGAAAATCGCTCATTGTGTCCCTCTAATGCAATGAATTGCATATTGGATTTCTAATCCAGAAGTTGTGGGTTCTAATCCCACCTGGGACGGCCTAATTTTTGAGAATGGGATTTCTTTTTACTAACAATTTTTTTGTAATAATCAAATTTAATTAATGAATAAATAGTAACAAACAAAAATAATAGTCCAACACCATATACAGAAAGAAAAATGGAAAATTGCAAGGAAAATCGACTTTCTATTTTGCCACTTAATATTGTGATTTGTCATATGTATATACATTTTTGTATTAATTGTAATTATTTAATACAAAGTAACTAAGATAAAAAATTTCTTTGTTGGCCTAAGAAGGAATTGACTTAATTTTTTTATATATTATATTGTTTTGTATTTGTGTTTAGATAAATGTGATCAAAGATTGCTGATAAATTTTTGCACAAACTTTAAATACATGTGTAAAATCCACTCAACCATGAAAATTGGTGCTATTTCAGCCAAATATATACCAATAATGATCACATTTTTTTGATTGATGAAAATGTTTAATAACATTGTGCATGTACTGGGATTTGTATATAACTGTTGGATGTTGATGCATTGAGATTATAAAACATTTTCAAAATGATTCAGTTAATTTATTTATGTCATAACAAACATTTGGTTGAGGATTTTATAGATGCTTTTCTTTTGTTTGTAAGGGGGATAGTTAATGTTTTTTTTTTTTTTTTAGAGAATTACCAACTTTATCTAAGCATTATGTTACTCGTTTATTATTTGTTGAACAACCTGTACCCCAAGCAGTCATTGGTTCTTGGTTGGGACAGCAATATGTGAAGTAAGTGTTTTTTTTATAAAATACTTTGATTCTTTGTTTTACTAATTGTGTAGCGTATAAAATAATTTAAAAGATTACTGCATTGAGACTTGCTGGATTTGTATTTTATTTTTAAAAATAAATTAATATTTTAAAATTAAAATTTTGTGTGTGTGTGCTTATGTTTTCAATAAGTGTGAAATTTTTTGTTCCAAAAATTTTGGTGAGACTAGATAATGGAACAATCTTCTACAAAAAATCCTTTTAAAAGCTTATTAAACTTGAAAATTGTGTCAAGTGATTTAAATTTAAGTTATTTTATATAAGGCAGCAAATTTCTAAGACTTGCAATTTAGTAGAACATAAATTTGTTGTTTAAGAAAGTGTGCAATAAATCTATTTTTAAAGAACTAAAACTGTTAAAAAACCAATAGGCCTCTAAATATGTTATATTTAATATGATAGAGGTAGGGGACCCACAGTCTTTCTGTGAGTTTCTTGTGCTACCTTCATAAAAGCTAGCCCTTCTATTATTTAATTATATAGATTACAACAGTTTGCAAATCATTGGAATTAAATAAAGAACGACATGAATGTATGTATGTGTGTTTCAATGATTGCTCATGGGAATAGCCTACTCTACATTTCAAATGTTAGAATGCCACCTAGTGCAACATGGCAACTCTAACACACATGCTTATGCAGAGGAACAATAAAGGCTTCATGTTATAAAGTTTGATCCAAGTATACATATATATGCTTACATAAATAAAAATTCCAACAGTGAAATATAGAAAGTTGCAATATCTAGGAATTTAATAAATTTATTAAAAAAATAATTAATGTTATACCAAGTTTTTATCCTTATATGAATACAAAAAAATATATATATATATTTTGTATCGAAACTTTTTATGTCAAACAATAAATAAATAAGGATTTAATTTTTTAATAATATTTTTATATGATGCACAAAATTGTTAAATCTATACAAAAAATAAAATATTTTCATAAAAGTCGCCCTTATAGGTACATCAACCAATTTAGCCTCCTTTATTACTTCTTAATTTACACATGCAGCCTCCAAGGGTAAAAAGGTTCCCCATCTCTGGAATATGATTTATTGAAGAATGGTCTTCAAGATAACCTTAATACAAAAACTAACTTATCAATAACACAAAACTTTCCTTCCACATAAATACTAAAATAAAACTTCTAATCTAAACTAATTAACTTAATAGCATTAGTTAAAAACATATTTGATTGTTGTATCTTTTTTAAACAGAGGCATTTAATGGGGGTAGTTAGCATATTGAAAATCTCACATGTAAGTGAAATTCCAGAAAGTCTTCTTTCAATTTGAATTTCACATGGTATCTTTTAAAAGAGTACTTTTTAAATACTTTTTTTCAAAAATCGCAATGATTGCTCTATGTTTAAATAAGTTATATTGGGAACTTCACTTAAAAGCTTGCTATAACAATGGAATACAGTTAACATTTTTTGCCAATTTCAAGAAGAGACAATTTTATTTTTTGATAATTTGATGAAAGTGTAGGGCATACATTTTTAAACTTAATGGGGCAGCTGGTTAGAATTAACTTCTGAGAAGATTGTGCCAAATATGTAAATTCAAACAATTATTAAAGCTGAGTATCCTGCAAAACCTAATCTGTACCTAGTCTGAAACCTGTATTACTGCTAAATCAGCCATTTTTAAGACTTTCTTAACAGGAAGAAATCAAGTAAACTTAACAAAATTGCAATATTACATTTTTTTTTTACACTTTTATCTTTTATTTGCCATAAGCCATAAAGTACCTTCTTTTTTTAGGATTTATTGAAATTATTTCTTTTCTAGACAACATCTAGATGCAGTTGAGGCACTATGTGAGCTTCATATCTATATGGAATCCCCAGTTCCTGGAGGTTTACCTGGTTGGGTTCTCAATACTACTTTCAGGAAAAATTTGAAGATTGCCCTGCTTGGAGGGTAATTAAAATTGATTTTTCTTTACTTCATAATTTCCAATGCAATTTCAACTTTGCATCTTATTTTACATACCATTTATTTAGTGGAAAACCATGGGCTGTGTGTGCTAATTTGGAAAAAGATAAGCATGGAAGAGATATTAAATTTCTCGATACTTATGCAATGGAACGTTGGGAAGTAAGCTTGTTTTTGAACGTTTTGTCTCTCTTTTTTTCATATAAAATATAAAGGTATCAGAATATATGTATAAAAATCATGGTCTTGCAGGCTCTTTTACATTTCATGGTTGGATCCAAACAAAGTGAAAATACTGTAAGCAATGATGCTATAAAAGTCTTATTACATTCTGGATTAATGAGGAAGTGAGTAATGTGCTTTTAAATTGCTTTCTTCTATTGAGTTTTTTGGAAATTTGATTAATTTGTTTAAATTCTAAAGTTATTTAAAAATTTTAAAAATTACAGCAGGGAGGGGTAGTAAAAAAAATTGCTGTTATTTTGAATTTCTCTGGTAACTAATCATCTGGAAATTTAAATGTAATGTTTTTATGCACATTTTTAATCTTATTTTTTTTAGATTCTATTAAAACAAAAAAGTTTAATACTTATATATATATAAGTGTTATCATAACATACTTGAAAGCTCAATCAAAATTGTGATGACGTAGTCTAAGAAATATTTGAATTTTTGTAAAAAAAAATAAGATAAGCAATTTTTAAAAAGTTTTTCTGGTAATTTTTTAAGATAATGAAATAAAATTGTATTGTATAGTTAAAAATATTCAGCACTCATGTATTAATTCTAGGCCTTTGGCAAGCTATAGCGAATTTTAACCTAGTTTTGGTGAATAATTTGTGGGAAAATATAACAATAAGGCTGATTATAAGTTTAAAATGAAATAGATCTCCAAACTGACTCCAAATCGTTGACTATTAAATCTCTGGTATGCAGTTAATCTTTGGCAATAAATTGCTGGCATGAGATTAATATGTACTAAGTATTTATGTATTTATTTGATGTTGGTATAGATATATGGTGGTATGAGAATTTTATTGATTTAAATTTTTCCAGATTGACATGTATATGTTAAACTGTTAACATCTTTGAGTCTTTATGTGTGTGTTACTGTAGCATAATTTATTTATATGCTGTTTTTCAGTAAGCAAATTTGATTTACTGCATAGAAACAAAAGGGAGAAATTATTTTTTATATTGCAAAAACTCAGGTATTTTTTTAAAGCTGTGATAATTTTTCATGTTATTTTTTTTATGGAGATTTCATCTCCTAAAGGACTGTTTTTTTTTTTTAAATTTTTTTTTTTTAACATTTATAAACCCCGTGCACCACCGAACGTATATCACGGGGGTAAACAACACAGACAGAAGAAAGGATTACAACACAAACATCCATGCCTTCTCCAGGATTCGAACCTAAAGGACTGTTGGAGTAGAAATTTTGCTATTTCCATAATAGAACTAATATCTCATGAAACTTCAATTATAATTTTGCTACTTTTTATATACTTTTTTTGTTCAAACATTTTTGCCTTCATATTTTCAAACAAATGTAGCATCTAACTTTTGAAGATTGAACCAAAGTCTGTTTGTTAATGTTTAGGGATGATGAATCAAACATTATTACTACTGAAGGCTTCCAGTTTCTGCTAATGACAACTGCATCTCAAGTTTGGCATTTTATGCTGCAATATCTTGATACAGTAGAGGTAAAGAACAATTTTTCTTTCTTCGGAAATATATTTTTAAAAAAAATATTTTATGCTTTCAATTGCATTTGTAATTATTTTTATATGCATTTGTTTAAAAAAAATTACTCTTTGTTTTCAGGAGCGAGGATTAAACCTTGTGGATTGTCTTACATTTCTTTTTCAGCTCAGTTTTCTTACATTAGGAAAGGTAAGTTTTTAAATTTTCAATAAATTTTAAGCACTTTAGTATAAGCTGGTTATTAATTGAATTTATTTTTCATTTAGGATATATGTAATGAAATATTGTTTTATATTTCTATATTTAAATTGGTACAATATTTATGAGTTCAATTTTATCATGTTTAATGCAGAAAAAGTTGGGATCAGGTGGGTATTGTGTGACGAGGTGAAAAGTAATTAATTTGTATAAAAAGATCAAAGGCATTTTATTGAAAGTAATAGTGCAAGTTTTTAATTGAATATTATCTTAAATGAAAATGAATTGGCTGAGCATTTCTGATTTTGGAATATTTTTTTGCTATCTAAATACTATAAAGTACTGATGTCAAAACATGT